GAGAGTGCGCGCGCAAGAAAGAGGACGATGAGGAGGAGGATGGGGCTTGGCGAATGGCGAAGGGGAATGAGGCAAAAGAGAAGGACGAGAGAGGGAAGGAGAACACGCGGATTATCTGTGCATCAAACCTCGCGGCGGTAGCGGCGGCAACGGCTGTAGCAGCCACAGCGACCGATACGTGTTCTCGTATTATTCTTCGCGGAATTCGCAGCGCAGCCACGGTCTAGAGAGACTCTTGGAGCGCGCGCGCGGCACCGATCAATGGACCGAGCCTGAGCGCGCGGCCCGAGGGAAAGGGAAGCGTGCAGGGGAGAGAGAGAGAGAGAGAGAGAGAGAGAGAGAGAGAGAGAGAGAGAGAGTGTGTGCGTGAGTGCGTGAGCGGGCGAGTGTGTGCCTGGAGGATTACGCCTTCGATTGATCGAGGAATGGACGGGAGGAGAAGCTCTTGCGGCGAGAGACTAGCAAAGTGCAGGCGGGCCGAGCAATTGGATGGATTTTGATTTTCAGAGAGATGAGGAGTATAATACGCGGGCAGAAAAATAGTGCCAATCACTTTGACGCCGTAGCCCCTCCCCCTTCCTCCTCAGAGGCGCATCTCACGACGCCGAGCGCATTATTTACATACGGGCCGCGGAGCCTCGAGCGCGGCGCCGATCCGAGCGCGAAAAGTGACGAGACCCGGGCCTCTACTTTCCTTCCTTCCTTCCTTCCTTCCTTCCTTCCTTCCAAACTTCCTTCCTTCCAAACTTCCTTGGCAGCCTTACCCATCCAGCAGCCCCCACGTGTCACTCCCGTCCGCGCGAGCGACTTTATTACACCCGAGCCTCTTGATCAAGTCGTCGGGGCCCCCGATGATTTAGCCTCCTAGCGCTAAACTAGGAGTGGACTCGCGGTGAGCGGATTTATGCGCTAAGCTAAGCGACGAGCTAAGCGACGATCTAAGCGACGATCTAAGCGACGAGCTAAGCGACGATCTAAGCGACGAGCTAAGCGGCAAGTTAAGCGACGGCTGACGTCAAATGTCGTCCCTCCCGATTTTATCGCGTTGATCCTTTCATATTCATGAAGCCGTTTCTCAAAAGCTCCTCAGCTGTCTTAACTCGGCCTTGGGCTCAGCACCGCGACAAATACTTCATTGTGAAGGATTTGTATTGGTCGATGCCCCGTATTTTCCATTTCTACGCTCATGAGCATCGGGGAATCGATCATCGCTATCGCGTCGGATCGCTATGTAGAGCAAATTCGGCCAATGATTCGCCCGAGCGCCAAGCGTATAAAAATACGTGAAAATATATACGTGGGATCGCGAGAGAAATATTCGGCTCGTCAAAATGCGATCCTATAGTATGTCATTGTCAGTCCAAGATCAACATGAAGTTATGCGAGGGATTTGGGGTCGGAAGAGACATTGCGTTGTCAGAATCGAACGTTGAAGGCTTCTAACTCGTTTCTTTTCCCTTCTTATAATAGTAATTATACGAAACTCTCGATTCCATCCGTTAAAATTTATGCTTAATAGAAGATTTATTGTTGGGCTGAATGTCTCTCCTTCTTTCTCTCTTTCCATCATCCTTATCATCCTTCTAATCATTATCATCCTCATCGTCCCTGTCTTCGTCGTCATTATTATTATTATTATTATTATTATTATTATTATTATTATTGTTATTATTATTGTTATTATTATTGTTATTTAT